GATTGATAAAAACATATAATTTTGTATTACATTTATATATAAAACATTAGAATTTCAATATTAAATAAGTAGTTGCAGTGAAATGAAAGTCTATTTGATGTACAAAAACCCTCTTTTCGTAACAAAAAGGTAATATAATATTCGTATAAATCTGAAGAGGAATATACCGTATCTGAAGAACTCAATACAAGTGTCATCACAGTCTCAATACATAAATACAATTTGTTATTATTTTTTTTACTCGTAAAACAATATCATCTCTCAGTTATAATTATAATAATAACCAAATGAAACAATTTATTTGCTTATAGTATAGTCAATGTGTTTGCGATATAATAAACTTTGCATTTCATTAAAAATTGTAATCTTATTCAAAAAAAAGTTGCCGTCAAATGTACACAAAATATTCAAATTTGTGTCAAAATTTAAATACAATTTTTGCACATTTCTGTCATATTAATTATAAAAAAATTGTTCTCAACTTTTAAGTCTATAATTAAAAAACAGCCAAAATATTAAAAAATAATAATTATATGGAAATGACTTTTGTTGTGATAATAATTATGATAATAATTAAACTAAACATTTATTCAATTAAACGGAAAAAAGCTTTCAATTAGTGTATAATTTGTGTCCGAAAAAAAATATTGTGTTTCTCGACAATAAAAAGTTATGAATTTTACAAAAATATGTTATGAAATGATTTATGAGGAATCAAAATAAACACTAAATAATAAAATATAATTATTATAAAATAATATCAATCGCGTCTCAAATCATATAAAAACATATAAATTTGTTTTGATTTCATATATAATTAAAAATCATTGCATTTCATATAAATATTCACATCATAGGCCGCAACACACACACGATATCCACGCAAAAAATATCTCTCAATTAAGTCTACAAAACAATAACTTCTATAAAAACAACAAAAACTAATGGCAATTACGAGGACGTAGTAATCATTGTCATAGAGTCCACCGAATCGGACCTCCCGTTCCCATCGATGGGCTGTCCGTCATAAGTAGTCTCGATCTCGCGCTGGGCTTTCGATATCTTGACCTTAGTCTTGGGCGAGTCGTGTTGTCCCGCTTCCATGGCAAACATCTTCATCTTCTCCTGGAAACTCAACTTCTCGGGCCTCGGGTTAGGCCTACTCTGGCTCTGAGCGGTTCGCATCTTTTCCGCTTCTATCCTCTGTCTCGGATCGTTATACACCTCTTGGGCGCCGATCACACCGGGAGTATTGCCGGCGACGTCTCCGTGGTTGCCGAGCGCCTCGTCGATGTCTTGTAGCGTAAAACTCGTGTTTTGGTGGTTAGAGGCGTCGGACGCCAAGTGCTCCGAGTCGTCGTCCATGGGATCCGAGGGGTTGTCATTCCACGAGACCTTCTTGGGCGTGTGGTTCATGTGTTGGGTCATCGGCTCCGATAGGTCTCCGTTACGTAGAGCTGACGGGTATTTAGACGAGTGGTCGAGCGTTGCGTTCAAATCGCTCTTTGGTTCGGGCACTGACTGGTAGGCCGACGACGTGGTCATCAGCAGCCTATCCAGTCGTTGCGGTGCCTCCAGAGGGGGCGGGGATTTGGGTAATGGCGGCGGGATTTCGTTGGGAGAGACGTTCGTCATATGATTGCCCATTGAGTGACTCTTTGGGATAAAACCTCGATATCGAAGCTCTTCGTCCTAAAAATCAATCAAAAAAACAAAACAATTAAAAAAATGTCACAAAAAAACAGTTACCAATTGATGAGCCATTACTTGTCGTCTGCGGGCCTCCCGTATGAGCCGTTCCTCTTCCATCTGCGCGGCCTCCAGTTCCTGATGGCGTCGGTTCTCCTCGAGCCTCAGCTGCCGGAGCCTCTCCTCCTGGGCCTCCAATTGGCCGCTACTGTGAATCGAGTTGTTCTGTTGCGTCCTTTTGGCCCATTCCTCGAGGTTTGGCCTAAAGTTTTGCTGCTGTTGTTTGAGTTGCATCTCGCGCTCAATCCTTCGCTGTCGGGTGCGCTCGATGTCCTGATTCATAGCCAACATTCGCTCTCTGGTGTCCGCCCTGTCCAACATCTCGTCGTCTTCCTCCTCGTCCTCTTCGCCGCCCAACTCTTCGGCCCTCTTCTGGAACTCCTTTTCAATTAACAATTTTCGCAGCCGTTCTTCGTGCGGAGGGGTCCGATAGGGCAGGGATTCCAAGTATTTTATCTCTTCGTCTCTGGATCTCTTGGATTCCTCTAATCTATGTTGTATTGCCTGAAAATTATCGGTAATTATAAATATTAGCATTTGTTTCATAATTTAAATAAAATTTCATAAAACATAAGAATTGACAGAAAATATATCTCAATGTTCACAACGAAAACATTTCATACAATCGATGAATATATGAATAAATTATTACTTAATTTATTAGCGGAAAAGTAAGCGTAGAATTGATTTATTAGTTTAGGTTTTGGTGGAAATCCTTTGAGTAGTATTGCAAAGAATTAGAGAAATAAATAATTATTGTCAGGAATTAATGTCAGAAAACATTTCTTAAACTATTATATCTCAAGAATAAGTGTGTAAAGTATGGCATAAAAAATTCATTACCCGTTCCTTTTCCTCCCTTTCCCATGGAGAGGGACTGACAACTCCGGAGTGACTTTTACGCAAATCTGTATTATTAATGACTCGACTATTAGTTATATTATTGAGAGCGTCAGTGAAGGGCGTCTTTTGCGAGCCAACTGTCGGCGACCGCAACGAGGGCTCCGATTGACGGGACGGCGGGTAACCCGACGGCCCGTAGCGATAGCTGACATTCGGCGGGGGCTGAGGGACTGCCTGTTGCTGGTGCTGAGGTATGGCATCGTGGGGCGGGTGGGCCTCGCGGTACGAGTTACGCGAATACGAGTTGTTTTGGCCGTAATTTGATAGCATCTGCGCCGCCGTGGGCTTAGGCTTAGGGGCCGGTTGTGGGGGCGGAGGCATCTGTAGGCGTGAACCGCCGTTCATTGGCATCTGCTGTCCGGGCGGATAGTATGGCGGTCTGTGAGCGGCCCACTGGCCGTTCGTTGGCGTTCCCCTCATCAGGGAATTCATTTGCGGTCCGCCGCCCGACTGCATCCGCTCCCTCTCCTCCCTGCGCTTCACCTCTTCCCTCATCTCATCCATCTTCGCCTCCTGACGCATGATATCCCGGTGTCGGGGGTCGCCGTACGGCGGGTGCGGTGGCGGGTAATTACGGGACGGGTAGTCCATCATATTTTGCGAGTCGTAATCCTGCGACGCCTGGCGCTGAGGCATCGGTGCGTTTGAATACTGTTGCGGCGGGTAATGGAACTGATCGCCCGGGGGTCCCATCATATTGGGATTCATGCCCAGTGGGGGTCGCGGCGATGTTGGTGTGCCCGGACTGTTGGCACCCATTGGGCCCATGTATTGGTCGGCGTCTCGATTGGCGATGAGAGCAGAATGCGGTCTCGAGTTTTGTTGCGGATTATAGAGCTGTCCGTCCGTTTGGAGCGATGAGTGGGAGCTGTGGACAGGCGGTCGCTGTGGCACTGAATTGGGCGATGGCTTTGGCTGTATTTGATACAACTGGATGTTCTGGTAGTGACGCTCTTCGGGGTACAGCTGTTGCGATTGCGACGAAGACATGCGTTGCTGCGAATGGAAGCTGAGTTGGCTGTCGGGCCGGGAGGGGCTGTAGTTGGCGATCGTGTTGTAGTTGCCGAGCATCTGATGGGACGCGTAGTTTCGCGAGTTGTTCATCGGCTGGCCGGCGCCGAAACCCTCTGCGCCCGACTTTGGCATCGAGTTGTATGTCTGCGGATAGGGTCCGCCGCCGGACATGTCGGTGGGCCGGCGTTCCCGCGACTGCAGCACCGATGGCGGCGGTGGAACCGCGCCGTTCATCTGCGGCATGGGTTGGTTGGGGTCGACCAGCGTTGGCACACTCTTGGAGCTCTGGATGCGGGGCTGTTGTTGCTGCTGGTGTTGGAGGTGCTGTGCGCTGGCGTTCATATGGTTCCGGTGCTGTTGGGCTCGCATCTGGAGCTCCTGTTGTTCGTGATTGACTCGACTCGGAATATCGCGTTCACTCATTCGTCGCGGGTTCCCATACCCTGAGGGCAGACATAAAAACACATTACATTTTACAACACTTTCGTATTAATGGTCTTTTGGTGGCAAACAACAAAAAACAGTAAAAATAAATTTAAAAACAAATGCTTTAATAATTAAATTATCAAAATATAAATCATAGAAACAGTTAGAAACTGAACGAATCGGCAGTCATGCGAGTAAAACACAGAAACGTTTGACTGGGAAAACACACATAAAACTAATGGATTTATAATCATTAAAACAAGAGAAACAAATTAATAACCAAAAAACAGTTTCCAATTTAAATTCAATTCAAAAAAAACTAATTTCAAAATACAATTCAAACGATCGAAACGAACGATAAGAAAATAAATTTTGAGATATAATTTAGAAATACCAGAATTGATGGCACCGTTATTATAGCTATTATTATCGTAATTATTAGCGTTATAGTTATGGTATGATTGGGATGTATTGGATGCGTTAGATGTGGCAAAAGAAGCGGAAGAGTTATTAGACGATAGACACGAAAGACAGTTACACTTTGCGAGCGATATCTGATTGATTGCGGTCTGAATTAATTGTTTGGAAAATAGTTCACTTGATTTGAGTTTCAGTGAATTCGCATAATATTTGCTGATTTGTTGGCAAATCATGCAGTTATTGAATATATCGTTACAAACGCTGCATTTGCTGACACAGGAACAGACACTATTGGGCCGGGAAGTCAACGACTCGTCGCTTCTCCACTTTAGCAACACGTTTGGCACGGGTTTGGCCACAGGAGTCGACCTCAGGTTCCGATTATCGCATAAACAGTTCGTCTCTTCCTTATTGTCATCTCTAATAATGTTTGCGATATTCAGAGACTTCGAGTGAGGAACCGATCGCTTGTTATTCGTGGCATTCATTTGGGGTTTGAGTCGGAATTGAAGTAATTTTTGCGAAAACAATGCATTTTTGAGATAAGTTAACGGATTGGACGTCGAGTTTGTCTTCTTCGGATTCGGACACTCTTTGGCCACCTTTTGCTTACCTCTGACCGACAGCCGGTCTAACGTCTGCACGGCTTCCCATTGATTGGGCACCAAATCGGCGGCAGACTTATCATTGGCCAACATGTGTCTCACATCGCTATCAAATATATTGTCCGCACAGACCGTTGTGTCGGAATTGTAGTCAGTTTCCCATAAATTAATTTGTGTGTTCAGTGAATCAAAACTCGCAGAGCTTTTCAATTTACACTCAGACTCGCAATCATTACTATTAATCAAACAGTCGTTAAGAAGTGTTTGTGATAATGGAGTCGAAGACACTAATCCATTACATATGAGAGACAGACAGTGAAAGAGTGGAGAGAGAGAAAAGTTTGAGAGAGAAAAACAGATATTCAGTATATATATTGGATAATAGATTGCAATAATAGATAAGTTATTCAATTAAAAACAATTCAATACGAGAGGAGAGAATGAATTATCGCACAAAAACAAAATATTTATAAGAATTAGTGAAAAAAAAGTAATCAAATTATCGAGAAATTAGTAAATATTATAGAAAAACGTGATAAAAGCGCAAAAATGCGAACAAATTAAAAGGCAATTGATTGGCATTTTTATAGCCTGTATATACTGTGGGGGATATCTACAGTACCTCTTGATATGGATGGTGAGGACTGTGTGAGAATGCCTGCCAGTCCGTGATATATTGCCGCCTGTTTTGCCACCTCCAGCGTTACGATTGGTCCCGTTTGGATCATTAATTCAGCCGCACGTTCCTGGGTTATGCCTATCAGTGAATGGCCGTCCACTTTCAGCAATTGATCGCCAGCTGTAAGGCGGCCGTCCTATCAATTGGCAACACATTTACATGACATTAAAATTCGCACATTTCAGCACATATTTTAGAGAAACAACTTTTTTTTGTGAATCGATTTTTACAGAAAAAAATAATACATTATTTTTTTCAGCAAATTCTTTGGCAAAACACTTACCGCGTCAGCCGCTCCTCCCTTCACCACAGACTTGATGTAAATGCCGAGCCGTTCCTGAGTGGCCCCTCTCGTGGCCACAATACTCAGACCCATTCCTCCGTTACTTTTCTGCAGTTTCAACACTTGCACCTCTGGCTCACTGAACGCCGAAGCCGTTGATCCCCTTCCGGACGGCGGCAACATTTGCTGGTGTAGTTGCTGTTGAGACTGTGTGGGCACCGGTGGTGGTGGTTGTTGTTGTTGCGTCGGTGGCTGAGTCATCAACAGCGATGAACTCATCGAAACGGGTGCTCCAGAGGCTTGAGGTGGTGGCGCACTATCGGTAGCCGACTCTTGTGGACCGGCATTCAGGTGCAAGTCTTTCGCAGATTTGGGTGCGTTTTGAGACGACTGCATATATATAGTCCAGTCGCCCGAAGAGGTCGGTTGGATAGTCAGGTGACACAACCCGGTCTGAGTCATGGGCTGAACAAACTCTATGAGTCCCGACGGAATGCCGGACACTATTTCACACGAATAGCCGTCTTCTGGCAACAGGAATGGCAACTGAAGGTCCGGCTCCTCTTCGAGCCTGATATCTCGGCCCTCATTGCGAAACACTTCGTCCGCCGTATTCTCCGCCACTTTCACCACCGCTTCGATGAGCTCGCGAGGAATGGGTGTCTCGTTCACTGTGGGCTCATACCTCTCCAGAATTTGTCTCAATTGCAATGAATTGATTTTCGCGCACTTCTCCGATATGGCGCCGATGTCTTCGGGCGTCGATTTGGGCGAATGGAGCAGATGTGCCGTCTGTACGATCACATTGAGGTGACA